ATTTCATTGGGTAAGGTTTCTCATGGTGTGGCCTTGGGACAAAGGAAAAATTCCACTTGCTAAAAGAAAACGAAGAAACCATAAGAGAGCATCTTGATTCCATTGGAAAAGGACTTTCTGCCACCATCAGAACAATAACCGAAAATTCAAAATAGTGTATTCTTTCGATCCGAACAAACTGATCGAAGTCACTTGAGGTTTGTTTCCAATAATTTCTTCCCGGTTTTAAAACGATTTCATTGGCCCCAGCTGTTTTTTGACGCCTCATGAACAAACCTCATGTGATTACAATCAGTTTGTTCAGATCGAAAAAATACCAGGATTTTTGAGAATACGAAAAATCAATCTCAAAAAGGTTCGCAGAGAGTAGAGGATAGAATTAAGTTTGCAGAACAAAATACTGCCAGCCTACAACAAAAATAATTCAATTCCTACAATCACCAGGAGCGGTTGATATCGTCAACTATCTACAACGAACTTCAAAATTTGAAGGGGACAATTTTGTTAACAAGGATGATTCATAAACATGCAATTATAACTTCATGCAAACATCATAAGATTCCGCCATCCAATGTCCATCCGGTCATTTTTAGCAAAGACCTAGAAATTCTGGAAAAAGAAATTCAGGACAGGAGCTAGTCATACCCATTTCGTATGTCTCAAAGTATTTCGAACTCCCAATATATCAGACTGTTCATTCACAAATTTCAAACTATTTAGGTATTCATGTGAAAATTCTAATAATTACGCAAAATCAACATTGGGACCTTTTTGAACTTATTACTGTCTGATTTGCTTGGTACAATTAAACGTGCTCCATTCCCCCTCAACCAATTTTCTTAGCAGTAGGTACAACCAGCCCTAGGGACAAAAACATTAGATACATTTCAGGTTCGGACTTCACCAATGCAAGTCCAACCATGACAAACTCTGTAGCGTGAAAATATAAGTAACAAAGACGGAACAGTCGTTCTCCTGGTGGTCGATTCTCGGGCCAGGGAGTAGAGCTCCCCGCTAGAACTGTTTTGTCCTTGTCAACATAATCGAAAAGTAAACGAGAATGATAAAGACGAAAAATTTGTTCTCTCGGGGAGCTCTACTCCCTGGCCCGAGAATCGCCCCCGAGGGGAATGCTGCACCCTGCTCCTTTGTTTCAAGAATAAGGATGCTGCTGAAGTCTTCACTCTTTATAGACATTAGATTGTAGCTTTAGATTTTTTTCTCTGATGAAATTTATGAACTTCTCACATTGATGAAACTCACAATAGATCGGAAAAACATTAGTCAACATCAATATAATATTGGATATGAAGATAGGAACGAAAGAGGTAAATTCCACATAGAATTCTTCTTCAACAGAGGCTATTTTGAAAAAGGCCCGCAACAAAAATGGACTTGGCAATCACCGAATGGCATAAACATGAACCAAATTGACTTTATAATTACTTACAAAAAAAAAGGCTGTTCAAACGTAGGTAACTGTATTAAACCGATTCTCAACCGGCAGTGACCACAGAATGATTAGAGTGAAGATAGTCTTGAACGTCAATAAGGAAAGAAGAAATATAGTAGCAAGGACAGAAAAAGTCAAATTCACTTCGATTATTAACACAAGGGCGTACCGGCAAATAATAGAGGGTTAATTACAAAACTACGTGCAAGATGAAAACGATATAAGAGAGATATCGGTAACCCAAATGGCATCATGCAGTATTAACGCCAACGTTATTTTGACATTAAACGTAAGTGCGATTCGATTTTTAACACTACATATTGAAATAACGTTACCGCATAACGTAATCTACCCAATATTTACGTTAAGCGCTATTTCGAATAACACCTAAAAGATGCTCAAATAGGCATGCGCAGGTTTTTGACAACGAACTAGTTGAATATTATAGGTTATGGTATGTTGAACTTATATTCAAGTTCAAAGAATAATAAAAAAGCATTGAAAATTCAAATCCTGTAACCCTATGTGACCCTGACCAAAAACAAAGTAATCAACATTGACAAATCAAAACAAAGGTACAAATTAGGTTAAGATTATAAAATAACGGATGCGAATAGGCAAATTTTACGTAAAACTGTTTTCCGATAATTGTAATTTAAGAGTATGATACCGCTTTACGTAAAAAAAATTACTCCTGACGTTATTACCGTCCATACGCGCTATCTGGTTCACCGATATCTCTCTATTGAACGGGTCACCGTCACCGTTAGATTGTCGTAAATAAATCTGTCAAACGTGAATTCGTCATACGCCATTTCGTCGTAAAGTCAATCCGACACGTCAATTCGTCGCAGAGTTAATTCGTCGTATACGTCAGTCAATTAGTCGTGAAGTCAATTCGTCGTATACGTCAATTTGTCGTAAAGTAACGTCGACTAGCTCATATTGGGGGTAAATTGGGTCAAACATTTCTGACGGTATGAAAGCAACTGAATCTTATGCATCACTGGTGACTCATGTGGTAGCCAAGTTGTTAAAAGTTTTCAATTTTAATCAGACATCATCAAACTTACCGATAATAATCCAATAGTTTGGATTAGATTTAAATTGCATACTAATCCAAACTAACCGGGTTATTATTGGTAAGTTTGGTAATCTGTGATTGAACAGAAAAAGGGCAAGTTTCTACATTTTACTATTATACCTGAAATACGACGAATTAACACTACAACAAATTGATGTATACGAGGAATTAACGTGTTGATAGTTAGCAATTTAATAAACCCGGTTGGTTTGGGTAAGTTTACCATGTAATGTCTGATTAAAATTGCAAACTAACCCACACTAATCGGGTTATTATCGGTAAGTTTGGTGATGTCTGATTAAGCGAAAAAGTGTAAATTTGTACATTTTAATCTTATACCTGAAATACGACGAATTGACGTATACGACGAATTACCTATACGACGAATTAACAATACAGCAAATAGACGTATACGACAAATTAACGCTACGACGAATTGACTCTACGACGTATTGATTTCACGACGAATCGACATAAGACGAATTGACATAGATCCATATTGAACAGCTTAATGAGATGTTGTGGAGGTACTGAAGAAGGTGCAAAAAAAAATGTGGAGATAGACAAAAACAACCAAGGAAAACTGAAAAATGTATCGAAGACACAAGAATCTAAACGCAAACAAGAAGGGAAATGAAAGATAAATACAACGAACATTGCTTAAAGTTAAAGAGTATAAACAATACGATTTCAAAGGCCATAACAATAAAGAAATAACTAATATCATAGAACAAAACATTAGCCTGAAAGTGCTAAAACGGATGTTGAAGACAGGAGAAAGGAAAAATATTCACAGGTTAAAAATAAGCAAGGACATCATACACGAACAACAAGAGATTCTGAAAACCTTCGACGAAATTATAGATTATTACAAAGTCGGAATGATTCCATTCAAGATCTAAAAATTCCAGTGATACAGAATCAAGGGTCAGAAGAACTTCCAGAGATATATCTGGAAAAGGAATTGAAACAACCATAAAATGCATGAAGAGCAGCAGAACTCCTGGAGAAGATGGCATTAGGCATTGTAACTGAATGATGAAACTAGGAGGTAAATGCGTCATAAAAGCCCTAAAAAATCTTCATAATGCCTGGCTCGTTGGAGGAAGTACACCAGAAAATTGGAAGAATGCCAATATGATAATCTTGCATAAAAATGGAGACTTAACAGAAATTGGAAACTTTCGACCTGTCCGTCTGTTATTTCGTTTATATAAGCTTTCTATGAAGATAATTACTAATAAAATGCGACTTATGCTAGATTTTCACCAACCACTAGAACAAGCCGGATTTAGAAACGGCTTTGGAACAAGTGATAAAATCCTTGAGAGAGAAAGTTGCAAAATACAAAAAACCATTGATATTATTATTTGTAGACTTTGAGAAAACATTTGACTCAGTCCAGCATAGTTCCACGTTAAAGACTATTACACAGTGCATTATTGACCATAGGTACACAACCTTTTTCATAATACATCAGGTATATAATAATGCAACAGCTGCAGTCAGAATGTATCATGGCGACATCCCCTTGGAAAATGGTATTAGCACGGAAACGCCATCTCAATCAATTTCTCTAGAACACAAGTCATGACCAACCTTGTCCTGGCGAAAAACATTTCAACATACCTATAGTATATTTGCTTACTATAGGTAAGTATATGTTAATATATCCCTCAGAAATGAAGTTCCAAATCGTATCATCAGGAAAAGAACCGGGGTTACGGTCTCAGTGGAAAGAATTACAACGCTGAAATGTAACTGGACAGGTCATGTTGCCATAGACAGAGATGTGAGATGAATTGGGAAAATACTATAATGGAGACCTAGATAGGATGCGTATCGTAACCGAGAACATCCCCAGCAAGATGGTGGGACGACATTAAGCGTATCCAGCCTAACTGAATTCAAAGTGCTCAAGACCGAAGGCAGTGGAATGATTCAGGGTATAAGGCCTATGTCCAAAAGTGGACTCAACAAGGCTGAGGAATATTATAATATTGGACGAAATAGCTAGCTTGTTAGTCCAATAATCTTGAAACATGACATGAAGAGGCAATTAGATGTGAACACCTTATTTCAAATAAAATAAGTATCTGTGACTTTTTTTTTGGGAGACTTCAATAAATATTTTCGATAAGAAAATGGTTGGCGACATCTTCACTTATAACATTCACCTAAATCCACAATCGATTTGCTCACCCTACACATTCTTACATTAATACAAACATCGATAAGAAACTTTGCTAATCAAAAATAGATGGCGCATCGCGCATCAATTTCAAAGCTTTTACTCTAATCACTTATTATTAATAAAGTCTGTTTTTTTTTTTAAAGATAATTCCCCAAGTCAAAATTCAGTAAGTATGTTGGCAACACAAGCCTTTTCTACATAAAAAAATTGAAAACATTGACAATTTTACATTGTATTGCCAATATAATGTAATTTTGACTTTTATCTTTAAAAAAAAACATAGGTACTTTACGTTATCGATGATAAGACACACTTAAGACAAAACCGATTCTTAAGAAAATGATTGCTTTATTATAATACTAGCAAACAATATGTCCTTTTACATAGTTCTATTATTATTGGTCGTTTCTTCTACCTCGGTAAGATAACTTTTCACTAACATGCTCACAAATAACAAGTTTTTTTATAGTGGTCACAACTACTTGTTTCCCTACCAAATGGCCAAATTCACGGACACAGATTGCAAACTTTCACCAATAAAACCTATCATGCCTACCAATCGATTCCTTATGCAACTCCACCATTGGGTGAATTAAGATTCCAGGTAATTACCCATTTTCAGAATTTACATACATTTACTTTGGGCAATTTTTAGGCTCCTCAACCGGCTCAAAACTGGACAGGAATTTTAAACGCCACCAAAGATAGCCGCATATGCTTTCAACTAAACAGCGATTCTCCTAAAGAAAGCGAAGATTGCCTTTACATAAACGTATTCACTCCAGTTTTAGACAGAGTAAACCAAACCAATAAATTACCTGTAATTTTTTGGATATATGGAGGTGGTTTAAGAAACGGAGCTGCACAGTTTCGAACATATAGACCCGATTATTGGATGGATGAAGATGTTATTCTGGTAACTCATAATTACAGAGTAGGTATTTTTGGATTTTTATCCACAGGCGATAGCGTTATTCCTGGAAACAATGGCCTAAAAGATCAAGTTCTTGCCCTGCAATGGACCTACGATAATATTCATCTATTTGGAGGTGACAAAGAAAAAATTACTGTTCATGGACAAAGTGCAGGAGCTGTGTCGGCTAGCTACCATCTTCTAATAAAACAATCGGCAGGATTATTCAGATCAGTGATTGCTGAGAGTGGCTCACCAATGAATATTTATTCCTTCATCCAGAATCCTAAAGAATATGCTATTGAGCTTGCTCATGGTATAAATTCGAATTTTTCATTGAATGCTAGTAGTCTGGAAATAAGAGATTATTTATTGAGTTTGGATGGGAGAACTATTGATAGATTTTCTAGAGCACCAAAAATTGTAATTTTGTATTGTGTATTTATTTATTTTTTTTGCTGATAAGAACATTGTAGTCTCAACCAGCTATAGCTTTCGAACCAGAAAGCCCTAGTGCAGTAGTAACCAAAGAAATGTATGAAATGTTTGATTCTGGAGATTTTTACAAGGTACCAGTTCTTATGGGGATATGCTCAGAAGAAGCTTTATTTATTGCAAAGTGTATGTATTTTATAACAACTGAATTTTATTTTATTAAAAAAGATTTTTAGCCGACGCATATTTAAGAAAGCTTGGTCGTACCTATGACACAGATTCCTCTTTAGTAGTGCCAAGTATATTTCCACATAATGAAAATATTGACAAAAAAGTAATTGGCGATTCTATTAAGTTGGTTTATTTGAATGAGACTGAAAAATGGACTGAGCATCCAGGAAGAGTAGTCAGGGTTGGTATTTTACATTTTATTTTTCGAAAAAAACGTTGTCTTTTATAGCATTACAGCGACCAAAGGTTTACTAGAGCAATAATTAAACAAGGAAAACTACTTTCACAATACGTTCCAGTATTTTTCTATGAGTTTTCCTATGATGGGGATGTTGGTGGTTGGAGTACTGTTGTGGAAGGTCTCTCTTTTTACTGATTAAGTATTAATTTGAAAATTGTATTATCTAGATGCTGAAAAAGTTGAACATGCTGAAGAGTTATATTATGTATTTCTCAACAAAGGCTTGAGTAAAATAAGTGAATCTGATGCACTGACTCATAAAAGATTGGTCAGATTGTGGTCGAATTTCATTAAATTCGGGTAAGTTCAATAACTTTGCTAAACAATCACAAGACTTTTGGTTTGTAGAAATCCAACTCCTGACTCAGATGAACTGGTTCAAAATATCGTTTGGCCTAAAGTATCTCCTACAAACTACCAATACTTGAACATTAATTATACCCTGCGCATTCAAACCAATCCAAAGGAAGAATTTTTCTCCAAGTGGGAACGCATTTTTGATAGTTATGGAAAGAGGCCATTCACGACATATTAAATTACAAGGACGGGACATACCTACAGTTGCGGACTCATCATTTTTTGTCTAGTCTGTGAAATTTCTACAAAAAAATAGTACCTAGTAACTTACGGAACCATAGATATTCTAATAAAAATGATTATATTTAACTTATACTACAGAAATTAAAGTCAATCCAAAAATAGAAACTATTTATTTGTAAAATACCCAACATAACGCTAAATTATTGTATCAATGGGTTTTTTGTTGAAACAACATATCTCTACGTATCTTCCTTATTTTTTCCATTGTAACCGGATGAGTGGTCAAACTTTTTTCCAAAGAATGAAACAATAAATCCTCCTGGAAAAATGCCGAAAACGGCATGTCTTCCAGTGAAAACACATGCACATTGCCATCTACGTCTCCCACAGTCAAACATCTGCCGCTCTGTGTAAATTGGACCACGGTATTTCTAGAACCTCCTGGTGATTGAGTTTGTGACTGAGGTTTCCAAACCTTCCTTTGAAAATCCCATAGCAAAATGGTTTTATCGTAAATCGTAGCCAAAATTGTTGAATGTGTAGGACTCCAGGCTATCCCTTGCACTGAAAACATTTCTACGAAAAGTTCTTGAAGTGGTTCATCCACTCCTTCTGCCCATATTCTCAAAAACCAATCATCACCACACGTAGCGTAAATCTTTCTACTAAACGGTGAATATTGTAGATCATTTATAGGGCCCTCGTGGGCAAGAAAGAGATCCAAATGTTGATTCAAATAATTAGTAGAGCATTTATGAACCACTCCCTCATTGGTACCAACCAAATAAATTGTTGGATCACTCGGATGCAATCTAATAAACCTTGCACCAGCATATCTGGATACCGGTATAGTGAGACTCGTACATTTTCTCATTGAATTAAATCCTTTAAGTTTGCCATCGGCTTTGGCCACGCGCATCATTTGCTGCGACGACATTTCTCTACTATTGCCAATGGAATAAAAAATTATTTTTCCATCATCTGATGAGGCACAAATCTGTTCTTCGTTCTTAGGATGATCGAGGTTGACTCGCCACAAGACACACCAAACGCATTCAAAAGATGAAACATTTTGGCCTACGATGTATAAATCTCGTTTTGAGATATCAATTATGTTTACCAAACCGTCATAAAAACCAATGGCTAAAAGATTTGGATCCTACAAATAGTAAAAGGTAAAATTTGCCTTTCATTTATATGGGGAATTCACCTGTTTTGAAAAACTTAAAGTTGTTACAGGTGCTTCAAAATTCCAAGTCCTCTCTGGCTGAACCGGATTTTTCATATTCCATATCATCACTATCCCTGAGGTAATTTCGGAAAAATAAAATTTTCCATAGCCGACAGCAACCAAGTCGTGATTCTCTGGATTCCATTCGATTGCAGATACACACCTACCTACAAAATATTTTAATGATAAGAATGATGAAGTATTTTCATTCGGACTTAATGGCCGTTGTAAGTTGGAATTTTTTCCTGACGTTTCGCTAGCACGCATGGCTCTGAAGATGCAGAGGTGCTTCCATGTCCGATTCTGGTAACAGACTGACGCGTTCCTGACCGCAAGCTGTATATATGTGTGAGTAATTGTGGTGGGGGAGGGGCGGGGCTTCGCAGCACGTGGCTAATCTGAACTTTCTCTGTACTCAATGGGATCTTTCTTGCGTTTTTGAGGATCGAGTTTCAGATTTGGTTGAGTTTAAGTGTTTCTTCTTTCCTGTTGAAGTTCTCCGTATGTTTGTGGATTTCTATAGCTCGTTTGTGGTATCGGAAGTCGGTGCAAGAAGCTTGACCTCACCAAATAGTATTTCAACTGATTTGATTGCTGTATTCTCCTTGTTGGCTTGAAAATCGTTTTTATGTTGTGTTTCTTCAAGACTTTGCCTATCCTGTCTGTCACCCGATAAATAAAAGGTCGATATGCATTAGCCACCACTGGTACTTCATCCACGTATTGTCGTGTGTTCGTTGTGTGTCGCATGGCCCTGTCGATTTCAGATGCATTGTATCCATTTGATAGAAAGCCCGACTTGAGGTAATCCAGTTCTTGCTCGAGATGTTGTGGCTCGCAGATGTTCCGAGCACGTTCTGTTAACGTTGTTATAAATCCACGTTTTTACCTTGGATGGTGGTTTGAGAGTGCATGCAGGTATCTGTTTGTGTGTGTGGGTTTTTGGTATACTGTGTGGCTTAGTTTTCCTGCAAATTTCTTCATGAATACATCTAAGAAGGCATGTCACGCTTTTTACTGTTTATAAAAAGAAATTCAAATAAAAAAAAAATAAAAATAATGATTAAAAAAAAAAACAGTTGAAGAGGGAACCAAAACAGAAGGAAAGGAAAAAAAAACATAAAAATCACTAGAGTGCGTTGGGTAAAGGCAAAAAAAAGTAATTATATTGGTTATTGAGTACTATTGTCAGTCACAGTGGTAGTCGATGAATCAAAGAAAGGTTTTAATTCTTGAACATGCCAAATCCCTTTCAAGTTACCTAAATCGTCCCGAAGCTCGTATGACCAATTCCCACATTTACCTTTAACAACAAAAGGACCAACCTAAGTAGGCGCTAACTTTGAGGTAACGTAATTAGCGGCATTTGACAGAATTTTATTTTTACGACAAACTGTATCTCCTGGGTTAAAAGTAACGGGACGTCTGCGCAAGTTGTATCTATTGGCATTTTGAGTTCTGGTTGGTTGATCCTACCCTGTATCTTTCTATATAATTCCACGAAGCCTTTCCGACGTTTTTCAATGCCAGCATCAAAGCTAGGACTAGTACCATTGGTCAATTTCAAATAAAAATCATGGCCATAGAGTTTATGTTCTCTACCGAACAATACAAAGTAAGGGCTATAACCAGTAGTTTCTCTGGGTGCGGTACGAATTGCACATCGAATCTCATTAAGATGTTAATCCCAAGTTTGATGGTCTTCTTGGCGGACATAGGTACGCAACATAGTGTTCGTTCGAAATTCTCGAGACTTCATCTGCACGCCGTTATCGCAAGTTAGACGCATTGGAGCACCATACGGAAGAAAGAAAGCTTCGACATGCTCAACAAGAGATTTGGCCTTGGCCGAACGACATGGATGTAGATAAATAGACTTGCTGAAATAGTCAGAGATAACTAAAATGTAACAGTACCCTTTTTTGGATCGCGGTAGCGGACCAATGTAGTCCAAAGTGATGGCTTGGAACGGGGTTATTTCAGGCCGATTACCCATTAACCCTGCTGGACGTTTTTGCTCGACCTTACTTTGAGCACACGGTAAACAATAAGACTTAATATAATTAGAAATGTCAGCTTTCATCTTTGGCCAGAAATAATTTTGGATAACTTTCCCATATGTCTTGAAAACACCAACATGACCGGAAGAGCGAATATCATGACAACGCTTTAAGATTGCTCTTCTTTTATCTTTAGGAACAACAATGTTCCAGTTTTCAGAGGCAGAGGATAGTTCGGGAATAGAGGGTTTGATGTGTTTATAAATGATTCCATTTTGAACTTGCCACTTGGGATATTTCAATGGGGATTTTTCTATCTTGCAAATCAATGACAGATACCATTTATCACTAGTTGTAGCAGAAAAAAATTCGTCAGGACTTACGAAGGCTTGTACAGAATCAACAGAGACGGGCACCGACCTGGATAGGAAATCAGGAATGATATGGTCCTTTCCTTTTCGGTGAATCAGATCAAAATCAAATTGCTGAAGGCGTAACTGCCAACGTCCTAAACGACCCTGTGGATCCTTGAGCCTATGAAGTCACAGCAAAGAAGCATGGTCAGTTATGACCGTAAAATGGACATGATCCAAGTAATGACGCAACTTTTCGACACTATATATAACTGCCAGACATTCTTTTTCGGTAACAGACAGTTTCATCTCCTGCCTAGTGAGAGATCGGGAAAGATAACAAATCACTTTTTCGCCCTCATCGAATTGTTGAGTGAGAACCGCACCAAGACCCAAAGACGAAGCATCCGTCTGTAAACAGAAACTTCTTTCAAAATCTGGGGCAGACAATACCAGAGCAGTTACCAAACATTCCTTCAGAAGGGTAAAAAATCTTTGACAATCGGGAGTCCAATCCCATTTAACGTTTTTCTTTGTTAAATTCAAAATGGGAGATAAAAGGGATGAAAAATTGAGTACAAACCGCCTGTACATACCACGATGCTGTGCCGATGAAGCGGCGGATTTCGTTAATGTTACGAGGAGCGGAAAGATTAATGATGGCCTCCATTTTCTCAGGGTCAGATCTTAAGCCTTTGTCATCAACCAGATAACCAAGGTATTTAAGCTAGGGCTTACAAGAACTGCATTTTTCTACGGAAACAATAAGACCAGCATCACGAAGACGATCAAAAATGGTTTCTAAAAGTTTCAGATGTAAACCATAACATTTGGTTCAAGTTTTGGACCCAAGATGGTATCCACGATGCGTTGCCAAGTGGCAGGTGCATTGGACAAACCGAAAGGTATCCTACGAAATTGCAATAAACCCCTTCCAGGAACTGTAAAAGCGGTATATTCTCGTGAGTAGGTATATAGGTACTTGCCAGAAAGCAGACTTGATGTCGATAGAGCTAACAAATCGGGTGTTACGTAGTTGGTCTAAAATAGTGGCAATATACGGAATAGGATAGGCATCTTTTTTGGTGTGAAGGTTTACCTGTCTGAGGTCGATACAAAATCGAAAGGAACCATCTTTCTTCTTAGCAAGACATACAGGTCTTGACCAGGGACTATTGGATCTTTCTATGACACCTAACTTTAACATTTCCTCTATTTCCTCGTCGATGAACTTCTGTTTAAAGGAAGATACCGGATAATAACGTTGCTTTATAGGCCTCGTTCCAGGTTCCAAGATTATTTCATGTTCAGAGACCTTACAGCATCCCAAACCTGAACACATTTTTGAAATTCGATTCGCAATTAATTTATCTAGGGATTCCCTTTCAGAAACTGACAAACGATCGATATTCTCTCAATATCTTGACACATGTCAGGTATTGTTCCCATATGCTTCCAAAAGTCTATTCCCAGAATGATCTTATGAGAGAGTTCGAGTAGTACTATGATGTCAATAATTTTTGTTTTAGACATCAATGTGACAGTTGTTTGGATGTAACCGATACTTTTACACACCTGACCATTAGCAACTGTGCAAGAATTAGGTTCTTTGAATAATTTGAGTCCTAAACCTCTAAGAATTTCGTACCCAGGTAACCCTACTAAGGTTCTACTGGTTACAGAGTCAAGCAATGGAGCATGGAGTAGCCTAAAATGTCAATTTGAAGATATGGTCGTTGGTCACCAGGAGCGTGAGAGATAATATAGTCTAGGATACATTTATTAGTGATGTTAACAGAGTCGGCCGTCAAAAGTAGTTCAGAGGAAATCGGACGACCTAGCGATTCCCTCGAGGACCGTTTCCCGAATGCGAATACTAAGTACATGTTCTCACGGTAACATTGGGAGCACCACAACCAAAGCAATGCCTCCCACGTGGATCTGGGCGATTCCCATTCAAATGTCCGGATTTTTGACAGTTTCAACAAAGTAAATCTCTTCGGACGTTCTGCTGCTGCATACTATTAACATTAAGCTCATCAATATTATCCCTTTGACATGGATTATCGGCTGGATTATAGATCGAGACGTTAGTAAATTCGTTAGAAGAATTCCCTAGGGAGTTTGGTACCTGTACAAAGGCAAAATCTGGTTAAACCAGTTGCTGACGCTTCCTAGACGGCGGAACATAGCTGTCTACACGGTACTTCTTTGTCTCTAATTTGAGGCACTCTGCCTCAAGCTCTTCAAGTGTATTAACCAGTTGAGCTGAATAAAAGGGAGAAAGATTACGACAAAGAATGTCCAACTGAGCTACCTCAGGTTAATTTTTATACCGCCTAAACGACGCTTGCATGCAGGACATATAGTCCACAATGCTCTCAGAGGAATCTTGAGTTCTGTCCAGAATTTTTTTGAAAAGTCTTGACTTATAGTCTGGAGGTTCAAAATGAGGACGCAATAAATCAACCATTCCGTTCCTGTCGCTAAACCGTGCCTTATTAACTCTAAACCAATTAAACGCTCGACCCTCGAATAAATCTATAGCTGAATCGAAAAGCTGTTTCTCAGTCACATGACGTGCTACTCTGAGTTCAGTAACTCTTTCCAGGAAGTTATGTAAAGAAAGCTTCTTAGTATCTCCAGAAAATTTGATAAACCACTTTTCTACATTTGAATTTTTATTAGGTAACTGAGAAGTCTGAGGAGGAAGACAAGTTTGAAGCAGGTTGAGATGAGTTGAATTATGTTGAGGTTGTGGAGGATGGTTGTCTTCATCAAAGTCAGTTAAATGGCGACTAAGCTCAGGATCCTACCTGGACGCATCTTCAAGGAAGTCCAATGACGCCAAGATTTCAACCAGAAGCTCTGATCTTTCATCTTGTTCCTCAACAGTAAGCATAGAAACAGGAATTCGTGTAGTTCGATGAAGGAGGTGAACAAGTCGAGAGTGAGTCGAATTTTTTTTATTCTGAGTGCTCTTGCCAGAAAGGGTACGAACAGCACTATTTGCTTCAGTGACGAAAGCACGAATTTGAGATTTTTCATCAGAAAATTTTAAACTGTAGGGTGGATATGTGAGGCTACCAGTCTTTTCCAGTTTAATGAGAGGAGGCAAAACTGACCTTAACTTTTCGACAGTTTTGGAGTCATCCACTGACACACCACGGACAATAAGTTCGTAAATTAACATCTCCTTCGGGAGGTATGAAATATTCATTTTGTAATCCATATCCATATGAACTGACTCTATTAAAATGTAAGCAACAACAATAATAATAATAACCAAAAAACAATAAAAACAATTAAAAAAAAAATCAAATTAAGAAATAAATAAAAGTAGTAAAAAGTGATCAAGGTTTTATTTTTTTTATCCGACGTTTATTGTAATAATTGTTCAATATTAACGTAAAGCACCTATGCTGCTTTAAATTAGGTACTGAAGGCAAGAAAGATACTTGGCTTCATGCAAACTCCAAACCCAATTCCAGGATAGTAAGTATATAATATTATCTTCAATGATTTAAGAAAAAAATAAAAATAAACGCAACCAACGCGTTTTTGCTTTGGCCCCACGTTGGGCGCCAAAAAATTTGTCACGATTTTTACTGTTTATAGAAAGAAATTGAAGTTTTAAATAAAAATAAAGAAATAAAAAAATAATAAAAAAAATAAAATAAAAACAAAATTTAAAAAAATATAATAAAGTTATTGGGCCCAGGAGAGTCTAGTGCGTGCCAAATTTATCCCGAGCTCAGAATAAAAATTATTTATTATTTAGTTTAGATTCAGAGTCATGGGGAAGAGAAGTTTAATCAGTTCTTAGGCCACCTGAACGCGCAAAATCCTAGCATACAATTTACCATGGAAAAGGAGAAAAAACCAAGAGATCGCTTTTCTAAATGTACTTATAAAGAAATATGGAGCCACACAGTGTATCGAAATCCCGCACATACAGACAGGTACCTGCATGCACTCTCAAACCACCATCCAAGGCAAAAACGTGGGATTATAACAGCGTTAACAGAATGTGCTCCGAACATCTGCGAGCCATAATATCTCGAACAAGAAGTGGATTACCTCAAGTCGGCCTTTCTATCAAATGGATACAATGCATCTGAAATCCACAGGGCCATGCGACCCAAAACGGACACACAACACGTGAATGAACAACCAGTGGTGGCTAATGCATATCTGCCCTTCATTTCTCGGGTGACAGATAGGATAGGGAAAGTCTTGAAGAAACAGAACATAAAAACGATCTTCAATCCAACAAGGAAAATACAGCAATCAATCAGATCAGCCAAGGATAAAAGGAACCCACTGTCAAGCACTGGAGTCCATGGTATACCATGCACATGTAGTAAGGAATACATAGGAGCAACGAGCACAAAATAAACTGCAGACTAGGGCAATCGGAAAAATCGGCAGTAGCGGAGCATGCGCTTAGTGAAGGGAATCATGAAATACTATTTGAGGTCAAGATTCTTGCACCGACTTCCGGATACCACGATCATCTTTTAGGAGAAGCTATAGAAATCCACAAACATACGGAGAACTTCAACGGGGAAGAAGAAACACTTAAACTTAACCAAATATGGAACCCGATTTTCAAGAACGCAAGAAAGATCCCATTGAGTGCAGAGAAATTCACGAAGCCCCACACACCCCCCCATACACATAACTACAACTTGCGGTCGGGAACGCGTCAGTCTACTACCAGAATCGGACATGGAAGCACCTCTGGAGATGCTAGCCACGCGTGCTAGCGAAACGTCAGGAAGAAATTCCAACTTATGACGGCAAGTAAGCCCGAATGAAAACACTTTATCAATAAACCTGGACCGCGAAAGCCTCACAAACTTAATGATAATGTTGTTACCTTTACCTTTTGTTGTTGTATTAGAAAAGGTCCACAATAACTCTAACCTATACTTATACTGAATATCTTCTCGAAACATATCAGGATCCGATAATCCACTGAATCTTTTCTGTTGTTCATTGTAAAGGTTATTAGCCAGAAGTCGTTCCATAATGCAAACAGCTTCTTGAAATCTCGAATTTTTAAATATTTTCAACAATTGTTTTTCGTCGATTCCAGTTTGAATACTTTCCGCAGAAAGAGCATCGGATGTCAGAGTTTTCAAATCCTCATCGCCATCACTGTCATTCGACGATGAGCTTTCCACTTGTTTCCGCGCCTTTCCATGGTAAGTGTCGTGCATTTCCCAATTCGAAGCGAAAGCTCTGGCATTTTTCGTGCTGATAATTTCCGCTTCGGTATTTCGAGATTTTTTCAATATTACCGCCGTTTGTGCTTCGGCGTCAACCACTTTCCTGTTACGTCCTTTACCTTCGGTTAGGTATAGGTATTCTTCATTTTCTCTCTCGGCTTCATCACCTATAGAATAAACTTATTTGAAATATAATTTTTTAAATTGAATCTTATTATTACCTTCTTCAGTGTTCCTAATTTCTATACAACTCGGTATGTCTAAGACAAAAAAAGTATTAGTTTCACTTAAAGTTAAGCTAATGTGTGTCGGAGCTTTCCGCATTTTTCTTGTAGTATCCGCATCGACTATTTCAGCGTCTTCTTCGTACCCAGTGAGATCGTCTGATTGATCGTCTTTTATAGAGCTACCTTGGATTGCTTGGAACATGTCAAGGGAGCCTGGGAAACAACTGTTTGATTGATATTGCCAAGGAAACCTGAACGTTTTACAGTGATTTTAGAACTGTATGGTATGGAATGAAACAATAAGGGCTATAGTGTAGCAGGATTATTAAGACAAGGATTTTAAAATTTTTTTCTTATAAAATGCTCTTTCAGTAAATTTCCCTCTTTCGAGTGGTTCAAGTGGTCACTTATAAATCAAATATGAGGTGACTCAGAGGAAATTTCCCTTTTCCAACGCGCCCTGTACATCCAACTTAATATTTGTTGAGGGGTTAGCAGCGATGACAATTTACGTGCGGATTATCAATAAACATGGAGCAGTGGTCGAACGAGCAACACGCTATTCCGCGACAAGGCGACGTTTTTGTGTGTTCTTGAGAGAAAATGCTACATTGAGAAGAAAAGTAGACTAAACATTGGAGAATTACGAGAGAAAGAACAGGAGTACAATACATAATAAAGCGAATAGCTGTTAAAATAGTATCCTCGGCTTCGGCGGCACTTATTACTCCCAATGTGTCTAGTAAGTTGGTCCGGTCTGTATAAGTGGGGAGTTTCTTGAAAACTTGAAATGCGAGTAGGTACGAATATCCCAGTATGCACTGGTGCAAGTGTTTAGTGTAGAAGTATACTACTATTACCTATGGAGTTTCCATTCGCCTAATCAGCCTATTTTCCTTGGGCATTCCAGATTTTTCGTCACCAAAGAGAAAATGGAGCACTTATTTATGTCCAGAGATTTGATAACAGAATTGAATTTTGTATACGATCCATCCAGACTAAAAGTTTTCCAGCATTCTACCACATTTAACCTCAACAAAACCCATTATTCGGAGGATGATTTGGCTGTTTGCAGATGGCGGTTTATAGGCAGCATACCCAAAAGGTTAATGCATGACTCAGGGAACTTTGTCTCATTATGCAACTGCTGTGAGAAATTATTTAAGCGGGACGTAATATTGGGCGAAAGGTTGATGTCGGGTAGTCTCTGAGGTCACCTGTTCATTGGAATCACTGCATATAAAAAGAATTCGACAAATCTGGAAGTTCTCATGAAATAGAAGATGAAATAGACACAATACCCCCGAAATGGCGGTAACATGATATTCAAGATTTCACTTAGGATACAGCTTAGACACTTTCTTCAGGTAATCTGGTTCTAATACAAGCACCAACAGAGTGACAATCAACAGAATGCGTCATTTTTCATCATGCTGGTTCAGAAAATTAACCATTATTTCAAAGAAGTCCACCGTTACGATAATCCATCACTGCCCCTACCGTTTTATTCTATTTATAATATTTAACACTCACTGCCCGCGCCATAAAAACTTCCCTGAACGGTGGTCAACTCAATATCACTCCTGAACCTCAAAATGGATTTCATTGGTCCCTCTGAATGTGCAAGTTCAGTATTGACCGTTGCACTGCTCCCCTTAGATACAGAACTGTGGCTCCGGTGTGCTTTGGCACGAAAGAAGTCCGGATTCAAGGTTTTCGGCGTCATGTCTTTACCATTCACAATGATTTGATGAGCATAGGATTTTGTCCGGAGGATTGGCTTGGGTTTCGACCCTGGAGAACTGTGCAGTTTTTTGGGGGTCAATTGAATTGAGTCGTACATAGTTAGGGGGTAGTTTCAAAAATAAACTGAAATAAATATTCTATTGATTTGCTGAATTTGATTTGGCTTTCTTTGTGATTGATGTCAGTTTTTTGTGAGGTGGGTGAATTTTGTCATTTTTTTTTTTATTAGCTTCCCAAGTATCGAATACAGTACCTACACTCTTGATAAAATCAAAATAATTGTATGTTCGTATTTAGGACAGTGGTTGGTTTGGCTACTGCGGAACAACATGGAAGATGTATATTCCTGTTCTGTTTATTCTTCTATGTATACAAGGTGAGTGAAATAAGTGCGCATTTTGTTATGATAGATAGAGTATAGTAGGACAATCACTTTTTGTATAGGAACATGTGTTCGCAAACTTCTCGTTAAGAAAATACAGAGTGTTGTTTTGCCTTCCGCTTCAAAATGCCTTGAGCGATTTTGTTCAAATTTTCAGAGAGTCTTTGCGATATAATATGACATAAACTTTTTTAACTTCATTGTTGTTTAGTTTCCGGTGTCATGTGAACAAATTGGAGTACATCAAACAACGAGATTTTCCAAACAATTTATTGAATTTTATTTTTTATCTCGTAAACGTCGCATCGGACAAGAAAAACTGGAGATACCTTTTTTGTTTAAAATTAAACAAGGAGTCAAAAAATTATTTTTAATTTGTCAAAAAGTCCAGGCGCGTAACACTTTTCTCTTTCAAAAAAATTAGAGTCCCTCTAAGTCCTGTCCTGGAAAAGTGGAGCTTCAGGTTTAGGTTTAGGTTTCTTGTGAGTGGTACGGTCTTTTGTGACTCACTCCAAGTTTATATTTCCCCCATCAGTCCAGCCCTTTTTATGAAGGTGGAGATAAGTGTGGGAGAAGCATGCTTTATGTATTCGGGTCGAACAGCTGACTCCCCGAAAACAGCATGCCTAATTCTGCCTATTGCCGGACACGTGCATAGGACATGTTCTGCAGTTTCGTCCTCTTCCATGCACCAGTTCTTTGAGGCTCTCCCTCCCCATAGGTCCCCATTCCCAGAGGTATGTCTGCCACTTTTCCCCCTTTTGAACAGGATACAAAGGATTTTGCATGGTTCATGCCTGGTAGTCTCGACCAATATTGTTTGGCCTCTGTGTCGGCCCAGGAGATTGTGAGGTTAGCCGTATTCGGGACTATTCCCAGTACTGGCTCCGGTCCAATAAAGTTGAACTCCGATCCAGCTTTTGCAAGTTGGTCCGCTTTTTCGTTGCCTCTCTTGTCCTGGTATCCAGACTAGTGTAACGTTGTTCTTTTCCCCTAGCTGGGTCAGGGCTTGTTTGCAATTCCATACTGTTTTCGACGTGCAATGTATGGATGCCAGTGCCTTCAGCGTAGCGAAAATATTTTTATCGACTTGTGCGTTTGTTGTTTTTTCAGCAGCTTTTTCGCGCCAAGCTCGATGGCCAACAAATCGGCCTGGAATATGGTTGCGTTTTTGCCAAGGCTGACCGAATTCCCAGCCTTGGTGTACAGGCAGAGATCTGCCCTCAGTAGCTCGGTCCTGTCGCTGGCCCATAGCTCTCTGTCGGAAATCATTGTTTTGAAGGGCAAGCCAAAGTTGGTTTTCTTTAGCTCACTTTTTCCAAATGAGGGATCCAGTTTAGAGTCTTGTCCAGGATGACTCCCAAATACTTTGCTTCATTTAAGAATGGTACTAATTCTCCCCGAATAGTTCGGGGTACCAAGTTATAAAGTTTTCTTCTCCTGGTGAAGGTACTATAATCATTTTGTGAGGATTGATTGTCATTTCCTCTCTCACATCAATCAAGCACGCAGTCTAGCACCCCCTGGAGTGCAGCTGAGACCCTCGTCTCAGAACTACCCTTGGCTATTATAACTAGATCGTCCGCATATGCTTGTACCACCCACAGTTGTATCGCGGCCAGGAGGTCATCCAGCAGAAGTGACCACAGAAACGGAGAGAGTACCCCTCTCTGCGGACAGCCCCTGGCGGCCCTGAACCTGACCGTTTCCCGAGAAGTCGTTACTACTGTTCAGCATGGTCCTGATCCAGTTACAAATTAGCGGGTCGATGCCTCTAGATTTTGTTGCCCCGTAAAGAGAGCTTGGCATCGCATTGTTGAAAGCTCTCTCTATGTCCAAAAAGGCGGCAAGTGCACTGCTCTTACGTTCCAGAGAGTCGTCTATACTAGCGACCAGGTTACTAAAAGCCAACTCTGTGGACTTTCTTGCCTGATAGGCGTATTGATGGGTACTAAGAGGGTTAACCCTGAGCACCTTCCCCTTAATCCACTCATCCAGCACCTTTTCTAAAGTTTTCAGGAGGAGCGATGTCAGACTTATTGGTCTGAATGATTGGGGTGTGGTTTCTTTGCCCCCCGCTTCAGGGATATAGATCACCTTAGTAGCTGTCCAGCTTGGTGCAATATGGTTCCACACCAGACTGGCTCTGAAGAATCTTAATAGGAATGGAAGCAGGATCCCAAGTCCGTTCTGTAGCAGAGCAGGGGAAATGCCGTCTTCCCCAGGCGAATTAAAAAGGTGGAATGATAGGGGCGGTCCTATCATTCCACCTCTTTGGGGCCGCCGCTTTAAGTATTTTGTTGGCTGTCAACCAGTCTTCTCTCCCAGGTCGTTTAATCCGATCACTGGGTTGGGCACCCTGGAGGCCATTCATCAGCAGACTTCCTGGAAAGTGGTTCTCTGCGAGAATCTAACGTTTCTTTTCTAGATTGTGTGTAGGATCCATCTGGGCGTTTTATCGACCCTAACTCCTGCACACGCTCTTTTGACGAGATCTTGTGGACTCGCTGCTAGGCACATCTATTATGCCCTGGCATAGCTTCTTCCAAGATTCTGTTGCTTTTCTTATTGCTTTGTTGTAATTCGTTAGAGTAGCTCTATATAGGTTTCCCAGTTACCTGTTGTTTTAGCTCGGTTAAACAATTTCCGAACTAGTTTCCTCAATTTATTTAGGCTATTGTTCCAACGGGGTGTGCTTCTGTTATCTTTTTTAACCCTTAGTGGACAGTTGTGTTCCGCGATATAATACAGCTGATCACGATCTCTGATGGACAGAGTGAAGTCACGCAAGTTATTTCCAAGGGACGTTCTATATCCGTCCCAATCAGTATTCCTTGTGTTTCTGTCCTCCACGGCCTGTCGTGAGCCTGTGTTTATTTCAAATCTTATGTGCCTGTGATCCGACCATGATGACTCGGATGACACGCGCCAGTCGAATACATTCTGTCCCGCTCTTCCCCGGGAGGATCACATGGATGGTGGTAGTGTCCTCCTTGCAGAAGCTGGAAAGTACAAAGTAGGTAGTTAATGTTTTTTTTTGGCAAGTATGCATGCTCTCGGCCAGTGGCGACGCGTGACTTGTAGTCTGGGGGGGTAATGAGAAAATGCGACCCCCCGCTAACGCGCCGCAGGCCAAATTTTGTTGCAAATTTGAAGGTCATTCACTTTTCCAGAACAATTATTTCCTTTGTGGAGAAAATAAAGCGTCGGGGAGGGTAATTACCCCCATAACCCTCCCCCCCCCCCGACGCGACGCCCCTGCTCTCGGCCTTAGCTCGTGAGCATGCTCTATTACCTTACCAGAAGTGTTGCCCAGTCTGATTACTCGGCCTGTGTTTGATGTTCAAGGTTCTTGAATGAGCTATCAGCTCCTCATTAGAGACCTAGGTAAGAACGGATGAGGCCGCTCCTGAGTTCTGCAGGTTTGCCTGCAGTATTTTTATTGACGAGGCCATTTTACTGTCCTGTCGGTGGTGGGCCCTCCCCTGGAGGTTTGTCAGGGCCTTCTTTTCCCCCTTGTCGGTACCCTTTTTCAGGTTTTTACCCGGGATGTATTTACCCTTCCAGGGTTTTTTAGCCTGTTCATTCGGTGTTTTTTCACCGCCCGATGTTGGTTTGCCTCTAGAAGGCTCCGCCGCCTCTGGTTTCTTGACAGAAGGGTTGCTTACCCCCTGTTTCTTTCCAGCATCCTCTTGAGGAGCCTTGGCCTTCAGATGAAACCTTACCTGGCCGAAGCCAAAGTAAGGCCTGAAGTCCATTGACCTCAACTCCTCTATAGGGATCCGTCGTCGACGGCAAAGGTTCATGTCTGACCCGGGCCCGAGCTTTCCCGATGTATGTTTATCCGCACTCTCGGGTGTGAACACCCCGTGGCCATAGTTCATTTTCCTCAGCCTTGCCGTCGGGAAGGAACGCCACGAAGCGTGTTTCTGCCCAGGGACGTAGCAAGTCAATACCGGGCCCTGGTGCAAGACTACAGCAGCGGACCCCCTTCAACATGGGCATCGGAAGGTTCAAATGTAATATCACGGACTGCAAAGCCTTTCATAAAGTGGATCACCAGACTGTTTGCAAAACTTCGACTCTTTAATTTTTCATCGATTACGTTAACATTTTTTAGCTCGTACTCAACTTCAAGAATTTCAGTCTGTTAAGATTGGGCGAACCTCAGGGGCGAACTAAGTCTGAGGTTTATGTTCCGACATATAAAGTGTTCCTCAGGGCAGTAACTTAGGGCCACTAGTTTTTGTCATTTTTGTGAATGATTTACCTAGTATAGTCTAACATTCAGAATGCTTATTCTTTGCGCATGATTTCAAGGTCTTTGGAACAATCACTACAGTAGAAGACTGTCACCTACTACAGCAAGACTTGAATCAAATTGATTACTTATTGGGTTGAATGTTTAAAAAAAATAAAATGTTTCTTAATACCGAAAAATGCCTAACCATGTCTTACACTCAAAGGCTAAACTCTGATTATTATTCAATTAATACAAAACTACGAGAGGTAGAGGCTGTTAAGGACCTTGGAGTGCATCTCCAAACAAATTTATTATTTAATATTCACTTTGATCAAATTATCAACAGAGCATATAGTGCACTAGGATTTGTAGTATAGTGACAAGACATTGAAACAGTTATCTTGAATATGCCTCAGTTATCTGGGATCCTCAGGCTCTGTCCAATGGAAAGATTGAAAAAGTACAAAAAATATAAAAAGGGACCTGCAGGTCAAGTAGCACCTTAGAGAAGAGGAGAGGGAGAG